GGACCTCTTCTGGGAGAAACCACATCTGGGAAAGAACTTCACTTCAAGGTGTCTGAGGTGTGCACTGAAGAATGGCTGTATGCTATTCCAATATGTAGATTGTACAAATGGCTATTACAAAATGGAAAGAATTTGAACTAATGACTTTTACTTTACCTTGCAACCAAACAGCTACTGTTTATAATGCAAACAATTTTAAAAAGAAGCAAATGTTTTTTTGAACTATGTAAATTTGAACTCAACTGGGAGGCTGGCTCTGGAGATGAGATTGAGTCCTCCTATTTCAGACACATCTTGTTTATCTCAATAGGTCTTCCGAATGTTCATGAGACATTCTGAACCCCTGACACAGAGACCAAGGAGAAGGTAAAATAAGAAACCAAACCAAACCAAACCAAAACAAAACAAAACAAAAACCCAGCTCTGTAATAAAACATTATGCCCCTGAGAACAGCTAGGAAATATAATATTACCAACAGAACTTATTATTACTTGTGGTATAAAGATTTTATGATAAAAATAAGCTTAAGGGATCTCTATTTTTGCCCATAATTATCTGCTTATGTGGGAACTTCAGATTACAGGAGAACGGGAACAACATTTAAGCTTATTGCTTCCTAAAACTTATAAAAGGCAAGCCAGATCCTGTTTAGCCCTAAGATAATAGAGAAATTTACTATCACTTTAGATGTACTAAAATTTAAAATCCCCCCAAATTATGGGAGCCACCCTTAAGTTTGCTATGCCCGTGGATGATAAGAGGTGGCCTAGCTCCCTGCTTAGAACTAAGATAATAGGGAATTTTCTTATCATTTTAGATGTAATAAGAAAATATAAAAATCCCTACAAACTTAAAATGTTTTAGTTTAATCTTAAGTAATTTGAACTGGACTATTACAAAGTTGTTTGGTTTTTTTTGTTTTTTTTTTTGTTTTTTGAGACAGGGTCTCCCTGCAGCCCCAGTTGGCCTGGAACTCACTATGTAGACCAGGCTGGCCTTGAACTCACAGTAATCCACCTGCCTCTGCCTCCCAAGTGCTGGGATTAAAGGCATGTGCCTCCACGTCTGACTTGAACTATTGAAAAGTTTTATTTGCCTAAATGTTGTTGACTCAGATGATAATGGTCAAATTCTTATTATAGTTTATTTCAATTGGCTTATTGTTCACCCATACCCATGGGAACCTCTTAAAAATGCTTTGGTTTAATCTTAGGTAATTCAAATTGGACTATGAAAATGTTTTGTTTGCCTAACTGTTATTGATTTAGATTATACTCATTAAATTCTTATTATGGTTTGTTTTCAGTTACCTCAGGAAATTCCACCTTTAACTTAATTGTTATGACTGTTTTATTGTTAACCTTTTGTGAAATCATACATCAAAAACTTATGAGGATAGGCATTGTTTAGTATCCATTTGAAAAAGTGCTCACAGCAGACAATAAATTAATTTATTAATGCTATTTATGTCTTATGGTATTAAGATAGTCAGAGAGTAAGAGAAAATATGAGAAGGGTATAAGAATACTGATCCCTACTGCTTCTCCAGCAGTGCACCCTACCCAGCCCACTGCCAAGAACCGGCCTCAAGGACATGCTTCTTTGATTTAATAAGCCAGGGAACTGTGAGAATGACATTTTAAGGACTGCCTTCTTTTAGAAATATGGGCATGCATCTTCATTTATAAAACAAAGAAAGGGGATGAGTAGGAGTGATTTTACAAAATGTACAGAACCTGGACTAATGATTTTTACTTAACCTTGCAACCAAAAAGCTACTGTTTATAATGCAAATAAGTTCACTGAACCATGTGCTCCTGTGACCTAGGTACCTCACCTTGATCCCTTGAACCCCCCACTTTGTTCTCTGATCTCTAGATAGTGAATGAATGCGCATGTGGTTGAATTAGCAAAGCAAAGCACTGACACATTATATTCATGTTCAGATTCTCATTGGAAACACTGAAAATAGAGAAGAGTGCTTCACATTGTATATATGAGATGCTTTAGGTTTAGATATGAAAGTGTAGGACTCTGATAAGGGTAGATTCAAAATTGGAGTTCTCCAACTGAGGCTGCAGAAATGATTTTGAACAAATGAGTGAGGTCGGGCTTGGGAGCACAGTTTCAGGAGATAATTGGAGGAATAAGGGCCCTCCAAGTTTGGATCCACTCTTTTTTTTTTTTTAATTTTGTTACTTTTATTTTATATGTATGAGTATATTGCCTGCATGTATGTGAGTGCACCCATGTCATGCATTGCTGCGGAGTTTAGAAGAGGGCTTCGGATTCCCCTGGAACTGAGCCATTTCTCCAGCCCCTGGATCCACTCTTAAAACTAAAGTTGAGTCAGGCTGTTTATTCAGTTACAACTGTAATGTTGGCAGAATAACACTACAGCTGATGACCTCCTATTGACTGGAGCAACAAAAGATTGCATGGAGCAGATGCAGTTACCCCTCACCCTATGGAAAGTCTGCAACCATGTTTCAAGTGAAAAGGTTCAAATTTGCCAAGAAAAAGTTAGATACCTCTGGTTTCATTTGTCTCAATGGAAGCATAAGCTCAGCCCAGGGAAGTAGTGGGTCAAGTGCTATCCCAAACTCCAACACCTGATGTTAGGTTAAGGAACTCCTTGGGGTAGCTAATATTGACACCCAAATTTTCTGTCATGGCCAAACCTCTTTATGAGGCTACCAAGAGGAAAGAGAAGGAACCATTATTATGGGAAAGGACCCAATCCAAAGCCTTTGAAAGATTAAACAGGCCCACCCTTAATAATGTGCCAAGATTGGGGATCCCAGGCATAACAAAGGTTTTTTTTTTTACTTATATGTACATGAGCATGCTGGCTTTGCAATGGGAGTTCTAAACCAGATGTTGGAGTCATGCCCTGGACCAGTAGCTTATCTCTCAAAGAACTGAACTCTGTTGCCTAGGAGAAGACATCTTGTTTATAAGCACTCACAGCCACAGAGTGTCAGAGGCCAGTAAACTAAATGTGGGGCAGGAGCTTACAGACCGAGTGCCTGACTCAGTGCTAAGCTTGATGGAATATAAGGGAAAACACTGCCTAACTAATGCTAGACTAGTCAGACACAAGGGGATGTTATGTGGTAACTTGTCCATTTGCCTAGAGGTAATGTGAACCCTGAACCCAGTGACCATGACGCCTGTGGGGCTGAGTCAGTGGGGGGTGATGACTGCATCAAAATCATGGATGAAGTGTTTTACAGTCAGCCTGACTTGACAGCCTTTTAAGGGTTCTGATACTGAGAATTTCACATGGGTGCAGCTTTGTAAGGGAAGGAGAACACCTGTCTGGGTATTCCTTAATAATTTTATACTGTGTCATTGACACAGAGGCTTTTTCAAAAGGAACCTCAGCACAAAAGGAAAAACTCATCACATGAATCGGAGCCCTGGTAGCAGGCATTTGGATTAACACAAACACAAACTCAGAATATGTCCTCACTACCCTCCGTGCACGTAGGGCTTTGTACAATGAGGAAGGACTAATTAACCTGGGGAGGAAGTACATACATATGGTCGTAGGAATCCTCAAGCTTCTAGAGGCTGTGTGGGCCCCCCAAGGGTAGCCCTTATTCACTATCGAGGACATCAAAATGAGAAGTGCAGCAGTGTCTCACAGCAACTGAAAGGCAGATCTAGAGGCTTGGAGTCTCTAGTGGGCTGACAGAATCAGTGACTTAAGCTGTGGTGTGTTCCCTAGCTCTTTAGCTGAATGGAACCCTAACTACTCCCAGTATGAGGCTGCCTGGTTTAAGACTGAGAATGGAAATTTTCATTCACAAGGATGGTGGTGCTTTGAGGATAGTCTAACCTGAGACCGTTGTCCCTGCCTTTGTCACACAATGCCATGAAGAAACTCACAGTGACCTAATAGCCCTGGAAAATGCTTTAAAGCAGTATTTTATGCCCTTAGGTATCCAGTGTGGCTCGATCTATGTATCAACAATGTGAAACGTGGGAGTAATCCATGTCAGAGAACTAAACCTTCCTCAGGAGTACATAAGCGTGGGAGGAGCCCTGTTTGAAAATTTGGTCATTGAGGGCTAGAGACAAGACTCAGTAGTTAAGAGCACTGGCTGCTCTTACAGAGGACCCAGGTTTGATTCTCAGCACCCACATGGCAGCTAACAACAGTCTGTAACTCTGGTTCCATAGGATCCAATGGCCTCTTCTGACCTCCATGGATATTGCATGACATGGGTGCCTTTACACACATACAGGCAATACCTCACACACAGAAAATAAAATTAAAAAAATAAAATATTTTAAGAAAACGAAACTTTAGTCATTGGCTTTACTGAACTCCCATGGACCCAGAGCTAAAAATACCTGTTGGTTTTTCTGTGTACCTTCTCGGGCTGGGTTGAGACTTTCTCTAAGCAGAAGGAAAAAGCACATGAAGTAGCTAGTCTCCTCCTAAAAGCAATTGCTTCTTGGTTTTGAATTCCATAGGATGGGATAACAGGCTGGCATTTGTGGCCAAGGTGGTACAATTGGTAGCTAAGGGGTTAAAAATTTCTTGGGTGTGTCACATGACTTATTGCTCTTGGAGTTCAGGAAAAATGGAGCACACGGACCAAACATTAAAACAGCAACGGAGCGAACTGTCAGGAGACTCAGTTACACTCAGACCAGGTGTTGCCGACCGCTTTACTAAGAAGTGGTCCGATTCTACGTAGACAAACAGAGTTTCCCCTTATGCACTTCGTTATGGGTGGCATCCAGCCATAGTTATGGACTTACTGGGACTGGATAATATCATTCTCAGGCAACAGATGCAGACCCTGGCCTCCATCCTGGGCAGTATACATCGGCATATAAGGGAATGTATAACTCTATGATTCTGACTACCTATGTCAGTCCCTTTAAGCCAATGGATGTGGTATGGGTAAAGGATGGAGTCCATGGCCCTTGCAGCCTGTATGGAGAGGTCTATTCACTGGTGTTTTATCCCCTCCTCCTGCAGTTCAAGCAGCTGAGGTGATTCCCTGGATCCACCATAGCTGGGCGAAGCCAGATTCCTGCAATTGGGAGCGTGTTCCTGACTCCTCACTGTGTGCACTGACCATTTGGAGGAATCAAGCTATAACCCCCAGAGGACCTAACGAAGCCGCAGGACCTGCTGGGATCAGAGGACTGCCTTGGTCACTCTGGAAGCTGACCAGTCAACACAAGCTGGAGGCCTGAGGAGTTAACAAGCTGGTCATCTGTAGGACAAATGGACTGCTGTTGACTTTTCCAACGTGCCTGTAGTACACTGTTACCGCTTGCCTCTGTTTCTGCACTCTTAGCCTAGCATTTGCTGTGGGTTTGGCCTCAGCTGCCCCTGCTGATTAGACTTGCAGCCATTTCTGATAACACGTCTTTACCCCTTCTGGGCAGAATGTATAACCTTTGTTATCTGTTTGTCTTCATCTGGTTCTCTTTCGTAGTTCCAAAGCTCCTCCCTTGTGATCTCTGTGTTAGCAGCACTCAACTTGACCATGGTGTACTTAAGACCTTAGGTTACCACATCCATTTCTCCTGCCCAGGGAAGGTCATTGGAACCTGTGAGCACAACAAAACTACCTATTCTGTATGTCAACATGGCAATCGACACATCTGTTTTGAGCCTCGGTTTTCCCCCACCAAGGAATGGCTGGAGGTACGAAGTTACCGTAGTGAAGGCAGCCTTATTACCAAAACTCTACTCACTAACCCCCAACGACTCGTGTCCCTAATCTTTGATGCATGTGCAGCTATTGCCAAAAATCCACCACATCGTGTTACTTGCGGAAGCTTATCATGGGAGCAGGAATATATGTCTGCAGGTAAATATATGTGCTTAAAATATAATCCTGGAAACTCAGTATGTGCTTCCGAAGCATACTATTTCTGCCCCTTTTGGACTTGTGTCTACTGGGCCACTTGGCAGAATCAAGACAGAACAGCACTCCTCCAAAGGGTTATGGCTGCCTCAGACTGCCAAAAAGGAACCTGCAACCCTGTTAATTTTACTATTTTTACACCCAGCGATTATATATGGCAAAAGGGACTGGAGATGAGTTTGCTTATTTCTGGACGTGGTCCTGACCCTGGTACTCTACTGTACATCAAAAGGGTCACTGTTAACCTTAATGCCTCATCACGCCAGGCTTTCCATTCCTTTTATGAGGAGGTAGACAGTGAGGTCCTAGTTTCTGCTATCGCTAAATGTCTGTTTTGAGATCTGACTGAGAATATATTTTAAAAAAATGTCTACTTTAATTTTTTTTTAACTCATTGATTTTTAACTGTGCATGATGTTTTGTCTACAACTATGTAAGTGCACCTGTTTCATGCAAAGCACAGGAAAGTCAGAAGAAGGCATCAGATTTCCTGGAATTGGACTTATGGACAGTTGTTAGTCACCTGGGTGCTGGGAACAAAGTCCGGGTTCTCTGTGAGTACAACCAAGGTTTTTAATTCTTGTCCCTTCTCTCCAACTCCTAGAGAACATTCTTTAAAGAGTTCTTCTTGTGCATGTCAGGGAACTAATCTGGGTGATCTGTGGCCCTCGGATGCCAGAGAACTAGACATCTTGTAATCCTATGATGAAACAAAGTATCCTTGTCCTGATGTCAGGGTTTGCCTTCTTTAAGACCTTAACTATTGAGAAGAACTACACTGCCTGATGAGGATGAAGATGTCACAGTTCTGCAGGAACCTAACATGTCTGGGCTAAAACATTTTATAATGCACATTTCCTGTTCAAGCCCTCACTGTCTTCCCCACCCCTCGCCAGCCAGCTAGCTATCTTCGTATCCTCTTAAAATGTTTCTCAGTCAAACGCTATGCTGTTATCTACAGGTGATAAAGCAAAAAGTAGAAAAGGCTGAACTTTTCTTTGTTTGAGGCCCTGGTTTAGAGAATTAACTCTCGTGGACTGTACTGGTACCAATAAACTGGTTCCTGAAAGCTTGAGATGCTGTTTTCCATCCAGAGTGCCTATGGCACCACCCAGACAGGTGGGTTACAAATCTGGTCTCTGGGAGGCCTGTTTCCCTGGTGTCCATCCTCTCTTCAAGCAGTCCATGGTCACTTCTGAGTTTGTCCTAATGGAAGAGTACTAGTCCCCCACAAAACCAAGTTAGCTCTAAGTCACTGTCCTGTAACTTCCTGCTTCCCCCGATTCCCTCAATTTGCCCTTTCTGCCGGGGACTTTTCATTTTTGGTTTTTGAGACATAGTTACATGTAGCCCAGGATGGCCTCAAACTCATTATATCATTGGGGTTAACCTGGAACTCCTGATCCTCTGACCTCCACTTTCCTAGTTCTGGGATTTGAGGCATGGACAACCAGCCTGCTGATATCTGGCTAGATTTGGAAGACAGGGCTCCAGAGACTCTTCTCCTTGGTGGACAATGCTAGTTGGCAGGTGACCAATTGGCAGCCTTCCCTTGGACCCCCTTGCCAGGTTGTGTCCTGCTGGAAGCAAGAACTTCTGAGCAAGAGGGTCAGGGTGTGCATGAGAAGGCCTTGGTGGGAAGTGTTGGTCCAGTGGGGCCAGAGAGGAGTACAAAGACCAGAGCCCAGAGATGGGGACCATGGTACACTGGCTTGCCCCTCTTGTCTTCTGAGTGCTCAATTGGCAGATTCTGTTTGTGGAAAGTATACCTGTCCCTCACCCTAGCTTTCTCGGATATGCCCCCCAGGGACCTCTGGAAGTAGGTATTAAGTGTGGCCTTTACTCTGGTGTTGCCCTGGGCCTTCCTGGCATTGGCCCATCTAGAGGTAGACCAGATGGTCAAACAGTATGGTGTAACGGCCCTTCAGGCTTTCTTGGTCAAAAGACTTTTCTTGACCCAGTTCCTGGAGGCCCTGGGAGCAAGGCTTTAGTACACAAAGTGCAGTGATCTCTATCAGAAGAAGGGAGAGGACAGAATCATAGGAGTCCACTGGGGTCAAGAATCCCACTGCCCCAGGGGACCCCAGGGCACTGATTTGGGTCTGGGTGTGCAGGGGTATATTATGGACACAGTTATGTAACCATGTACTGTTGCTATACCAGCAGGAAAGAAGAGACAGGAGTGCTAAAGGCCAGGGATGTGGGGGCAGGTGGGAGAGGAGAGTCTGCAAACAGAGGCTGGCTGTGTCACCCAACCTTCCAAGGCAGAGGACCGGGGGGAGGCAGGAACAGCTCATTGGTCTGCTTCTGCTTTTCTGTGGCTTGAGGGAGCCCGAAGAGCAAGGAAGGATTCAGTCAGTAGCTGTCTGGGGTCTTGCTTCACATGACAACTGGATGAGCCCTAGGACTCACCATCAAGTACGGGAACTCACCAGCAAACCCTTGTGAGTTGCTTTGGAGTGTCTGAGGGTGGACGGTAGGGAGTCTCCCTCCCTTCTGTCTGTTCCTCTGCTAGTTCTGGGAAAGCTCACCTGGGAGGGCCTGGTTTCTCTCTGTATAGGCTCCAGCCTTAGTTGCTGTTTTTATTTTCAGATGTGTGTGTGTGTGCGTGTGTGTGTGTGTGTGTGTGTGTATGTGTGTGTGTGTGTGTGTGTTTAGAATTTGGTTTCATTATGTGAGAAACACCCAAATAATTGTTTTTAAATTTTTTAAATTTAGGGCTGGAGAGATGGCTCAGTGGTTAAGAGCACTGGCTGCTCTTGCAGAGGACCTGGGTTTGATTCCCAGCACCCACATAGTGGCTAACGACAGTCTGTCAGTCAAGTTCCAGAGGATCTAATGCCCTCTTCTGACTTCCTCGAGAATTGCACGACACAGGTGCACTTACATACATGAGTGCAGGCTATACACTCATACATATAAAATAATAATAAATGAAGTATTTTTAAAAATTAAAAAAATTATTTCATATGTATGAGCATTTTCCCTGCATGTATGTAAGTGCATTCCTGCCATGCAATGCCTGTGGAGGCCCTGTGGAAGCCAGAAGAGGGCACTGGATCCCCTGGAACCAGAGTTTTAGACAGTTGGTAGTTGCAAGGTGAGTGCTGGGAACCAAACCCAGGTCCTCTGCAAGAGCAGCCAGTGCTCTTAACCACTAGGCCATCTCTCCATTTCCACAAATAATAGCTTTAAACATGACATTTATTTCTCTCACATAAATGAAGTTGAGTGGTAGTCAGTCCAGGTTTGTTACAAGGGCTCTGTGAAGATCAGAAGATATGCCTTCTTCTGTTAGTATGCCACCAATCTCAATCATGGTCGCTACCTCATGGGGCAATATGGTAGTTGGAATTCCAGTCACCATGTCAGCATTGCGGAAGGCTAGAAGAAGTGGGGAAAGAGGGGCATGCTTCATCCCCCAAATCCCATGAGAAACTATAGCAAATAGTCACGTGCCATGCTTAAATTCAGAAACCTCATTATTGAAGTAGAAGATCTGGCAATCCTGGGACGTAGTTAGCTGTCCTTGTCACACTGTGGGACCTGAGCAGAGGGTTCCAGATGCTGTGTGATTCCCTCAGACTCCTCAGAGCAGCAGCTGGGTGGTGGGGATTGGACCTTGTGTTCCCCTCCTGAGGCCTGCCTCCAGCTGCGGGCCTTGAAGTGCCCCTTGGCACAGTTCTGGGAACAGGTGTCCATATCACCCGGTGTCTCCAGCAAAGGCAGGATCGCTTTGATAATCAGGGCCAACCAGGACATCCCAAAGAGGATCCACAGGGACACGATGTTCTTGTACCACATAGGGTAATACCGAGAAGGGTCCATTCCTGGAGAGAATTTGAGGTCAGAGGAGCGATGTGTGGGGTAAGACCAAAGTCCAGAGCCCTGAGGGGTCAATGTGGTGGGGTTGGAATTCAGGAAACCCACATACTTGACATTCCCAGTCTGTGGCTGCCAATCGGGGACTCCAGACTCTAGGAAGCCCCTGGGATTAGCACTTTGAAAAATCTCCCCCAGAAAGTTCTCGAAGTGTTATCCTCAGATCAGCTCCATGACCACCATATGACCGCTCCTTCTAGAGGCAGGTGACAGAGCCCACCCTGCCTGGTGACTTGGAACCTCTGGGGTGACTCACAGGCTGTTATTTAACTGGCCTCCAGGGAAGGTGACACTTGTCCATTGCCAGCCTTTCTCTCTGTTCAGCATTTATTTCATTTTATAGTTTTTGAGACAGGATCTCATTATGTAGACCAGGCTAGCCCAGAACTCAAAGATCCACCTGTCTCTACCCCCTCCTCCCCCAATGCTAGGATTAAAGGCGAGCTGTCGTTTGTGTGTTTGCTATTTTTAGAGAGGCTCTCACTTAGCCAGATCTATTCTTGAACTCTCTATGTAGCTGAGGATGACCTTGAACTTCTGATTTTCCTGCCTTCACCTCCTGAGTGCTGGGATCACAGGTGTGTGCCACAGTGCTCAGTTATGTGGTGGTGGGGATCAAACCCAAGGCCTTAAACATGCTGGGCTCTACCCACTGTGGGTATGAATGTTCAGTTTTGAAAGGGGCCAGCTATGGGATTCTGGGGCTTTAGGAAGAATGGAACTCTGCTGGATTAAGGGTCCCATTTCGGTCC